GAGGTATAACCCCCCCCCCCCCCCCCCCCCCCCCCCCCCCAACTTATTTACATTGCTGTATTGATTTATTCACCCTGCACTGTCTTTGCACTTTATCTTGACTTTTTTCACTATTTCTTCATATATGTGCACTTCAAGTTACTTTAGAGGCCCATTTCCACCTGGGACCAATACAATATCTTATCTTATCATTTTCACTGACGACGTTTAAATTTTAACACAGCACCATAGACAGCCAGTTTGCTGGATTGAGACCGACTTGTAGCATGTTTATGGAGGAAATGTGATATTGTAACCCTGCCAATGGTATGTAATTTTTCTAGCAAAGGAATTACAGGCATGAGCAAGTATGCAAGTGAAATAGTAATGTCGAAATTTAATTACAAGCTAAATGGGATTTTAAATGTAAACAGGGAGTTGAAACAGCGGATCACGGGTAACAAGGTAACCTTTGCAGTTAATGCGGACATATAGGCGGTTTTGACGCTGGGTGGTAAAATCCATGCGTGTGTTAGCAGGCATGAGTGGCCGTATATAAAGACGCACAAATGCACTATTGCTATACCCCGTACAGCTGAGAAGTGCACCTTTAGTCCTTAGTTTACTTGTACCGCAGCTTTTCATTTGCAGAGACGTCTCCCGACCTGCTGCTGTGAGGTTCCCCAGCCCTCTGCGCCGCTCCTTCCAGGCGATTCAAAGCAGCGGCTCCGCCATTAATAACCAGACTGCGTTTGTCCGTGACGCCCTGAAAATGTGTATATTTAGTCACCAAGCAAAGGCATGTTAATCAAACTAAATTACCTGCCAGGATAAAACTGCTAAACACCGGTAGCATTTTTGGCTGTCTAATGAATGTTCGGTAAGCGTTGATAAAATGTTACAATAATGTTAAGACTGTTGAGGTTGATTATCGCGTTGCCAGGTGGTGGAGTGTCGCTTTTAAACCTTCAGAAAACAAAAAGAACCATGAGATAAGCTTGAGCGGGGAAACTTTATTTTTAAGCGTGTAATCGTGTGCGATCTAAGAAGGGGGCGAATGCATGGCACTGCACATCGTCTGCTGTAAGTCGGCACCCAGAAGGAAAATCAAAGTCTGCCTAACGGCCCCCAGGTGCTTCTTCATAGTCGAGGGCTGTGTGCTATTCGATGTCTGAGATGGGAGTGCAGCTTATGTTCCCAGGTCCCATTTTCCCAGGACCCTGTGCCCGCCCCCCCCACCCTTTGTTCCCTCAGTGTAATTTCTGAAGCAGCTCTATCTTCCCAGGGCCCCTGTTCTTTGGGTTAGGGGTCAGCCTCAGACCCCAGGACCCCAACAAGGGATTAGCCAGCAGACCCATCACAAGTGCCCAGTCCTCAATCTATGTTGTGAAGGCATCAAAAACACATGAATCTTAAATGATGCTATCAGAGGTATTGTGTGCCATGCACTCAGATTTCCCGAATGTAAATAATCAGCTATTAATTTGGTCAGCTAGTTTATTTGCAGGGCTATATACAACATACTGGCATCATTGTGCAAAATATATGACCCGCCTCATGTCACATATCACACAAGGGATTCTTTTTATTACAAGTGTTTTTATACTAGATACACACATTTTTATATTTTTATTTTGCGTATCGAAATGTGTCAAGTATGAACCATAGCTAAGAACAAAGGAGACACTGTGCGGGGCAATAAAAACTCAAAAACCTGAATTATGATTTTCCACAGTGTTCACTACACAGTTCACATTCAGCTCTGCTGCTCTGCAGCCTTCTGTGAGGCTTTTAAACAGAACCACCCTTTGTTATTAAAGCCTTGTGGTTCATTCTTAGAGGTATGATCTAGACGCCCATGTCAGTAATCGTGAGCAGATAGCAGAGATCAGTATTTATTATTATTATTATTATTATTATTATTATTATTATTATTATTATTGCAGCCGTGAATGTGAGCCTGGCTTCCTCGTGTGTCGCTCCATAACGGGGGCGTGGTTCCATGAGGGATGATGCGCGAGAGTGAAAGTGAGCAGTAACCCAGGTGTTAAATAACCGGGGCGTGATGTGCCTCCGAAGCCATCGAGGCGAACAGCGGTAACCCGCAGGTGCGGCGCCCCTGCAGCCGCTCTGCCGCCTCCGGAACCGAAGGAACGTCAAGCCAGCAGAAACGAGACAGGGAAAAAAAACAAGTTAAAAAGCCTTCAGATGTTCCAATAAGAGGCCTGCTCGCTGTTCCAGGCGTGGAGATCACACATCTCGATATTTTGAAGCAGGAGTTGGATATTGTAACAGTTCAGTGAACACTTTGTTCTTAGATTTCATTTGGGACAAATGAACCATCACCTTATAAC